GATGTACTTTCAATTTTTTTTCCCTAATTTCCCTTCATTAAGCTGATATATGTTTGTAAAGATATTGCTTGTATTTCAGTTTAAAAATAGTTTAAATTCCAGACAAACAACAAAAAGAATACCAAGAGTGATGAATACTTTCAAAACGCAGTGTCAGCAAGGACCATTTACCATTTACACAACTCAGACATGCCAAGGGGCAAGCTGCAATGAGTTGATCAAAATTAAACTTCAAAAGGAGCGTTGCTCAAGATGTTTTCAGAGTACTGTATTCAAATTATTAGAGGCTGCTGTTAAAAAATGCATCATCGTCACTAACGGGCCCGAGCGTGTTGCTTCATTCAACATTGAAAGACCTGCCAGAACCAGGCTCTGCCACTTTCAAAATCAAGGTAACAAAAAAAAGGGTAATGGATTTTTTTGTGTGTGTGTGTGCACTTTGTTCCATTTCTATCCCTTTTGTTTAATGCATTAGCAACATTTTGTTTTTCTTCCCAGTTTGAGATTTTAGGGACAGATATCTGCGGTTTGTGTTTCGGTCCTCTGGAAGTATGATGCACCACTGGACTGATAAAAATATGTTCTTAGATTTTATTTAAACATGAGATCTGACAAAACTGTTGTTTTTATTTTTATTATTTTTATTGAAGTGCAGACTATGGTTAATAAAATATTGGCAGGATCTTGCAGTGGCTGCCTGATTGAAATGTTTGTGGGGATTACTGAAGCAGAAAACACTAGTCTGCTCCAGATTTACAAGTTCTAACTCTCTTGTGCCGCTGTGTTCACATTGTGCTTGACAAYGTGAGAAAACTCTTATGTGGAATTTATTAAATGAGTAATTAGAAAAAGTAAACAGAGTCCAGGACAATGCAGAGAAAAGTGGATTTCTTTCCTCAGTGGCCTCTTAAATGTCATTTTGAATTGCTCACTATTGGCTGAATATTTTAGCTGTTGACATTTAATAGCGTGCTATTTTTTTTCTTGTTGGCCTACCTCTGAAGTTAAACAAGACATATTTTTTTTCTGTCTGTGTATGAACCTAAATCAAAAAGGTTAAAAATATATTATGAAATATACAAATGCTACACAGAGGGAGGTATCGCTGCCTTGCGTCTGACGAATAAATGATCAGCAAACATAACGAGATGATTTGCATATGACTGAATGAAAATGTGTTTACAGAGGCTGCCTTTGAATCTAATAATTGCAGGTGTTCATCGTTGCTTTGAAGCAAACCATTTTTTGTGATGGTTCTTTAGAAACTCACTTCCAAAACATTTGATCAATATTCATATTTAAATGGGCGTCATTTACAATCAAGGACAAGTTATCATTAACTTTGTAAGGTTATATTTATCTGTTATTCTTTGTGAGGGAAAAAAAAGAGATAGATGATAATTTGTTGAAGAAAAATATCAACAAAGTGTTCACGTTTGTAGAAAATTTGCATTTCCAGAAAAAAATGCAGCTAATTTTGGCTAATTTTGTCTTTGGCTGAGTAGCTAAAAAGCTTAAACTAGCCGAAAAATAGCCGAAAAGTAGCTAAAAAGTAGCTGTAATAAGCACAAAGAAACAGAGAGCATGTTTGCTGAATRTAGCTGTAGGATGCTAAAATTATCATAAAAAGGTGAAATTAGCTGAAAAAAGCTCAAAGTAGCTAAAAGGTGTCTAAAAACACAGAAAGCAGCTGAAATTAGAAGAAAGCTGCTGAAAAAAGCCTAACAAGCTTAAATATGCAGAAGAATATCAGAAAAGATCAAAACAATAGTTAAAAAGAAAAATTAAAGCTAGAATCAGCCAAATAGAAGCTAAAATTAGTACAAAGGAATTTAAAAGGCAGAACTAAAAGATAAAAAGCACAATAAAGATTAACAAATGTTTTTGAAAGTTTTATAATGATGAAAAGTGCTCCATTTATTTATAAAATATAGCAGATAAAACTAAATATCTCAAAAAGTATACATTTCTGAAGTACTCAAAGTCATCACTGGAATGCCCTGAAGGAGCTGAATGTTTTGATATATAAATTGTTGAAATAGCACAAAAATGCAGATGGCTTTTGAACGTATGGAAAATAACTGATATCAGTACTGTGAATACTTATTTTACATCCACACTATTTTACACACATACAGTGGGTAAAATAAGTATTGAACACGTCACCATTTTTCTCAGTAAATATATTACTAGAGGTGCTAATGACATGAAATTTTCACCAGATGTCGGTAACTGTGGAGGTTTTGTCTTGCAGTTCATGGAGAGTGCAGTGGGCGGAGACTGGATGGACTCACC